AATGGCCTTAATTTCTCTCTCTCTCTCTCTCTCTCTCTCTCTCTCTCACACACAAACACACACCCTGTCTGCTGGGTGCTGGTAAGGACCTGATGAAGACACACAGGCGATTTTTGGCCACGGTGTCTCAACGGTCTTCAACTGTTTTCCTTTAGTTTCTTATGTTGCCGACATTTTTGGGTTGTCATTTGAGTATGGACTATTTTTAGTCACTAACAATCCTTCATAGGCTGTTATGCGTTGTCGTTTTTATGATGCATTTCAATGAATTTGTTTTTTTTTTACTGCTGTTATTTTGTGAATAAGTTCATGTAAAATATCCTCCCTCATCAGAACCCTGTTGTATTTAACAAGCTGTGCCTTATGTGGCGAATGAAGGCATACCTGTCAGGTATGGCAGTTGCGGTTGACGGAGGCTGCAGTCAGCCCTGGCACTGACCTGCAAACAGCTGTAATCAGAGCTCTCTCAAGAGTAAAACCTTTGAAACCAGGAGCTTTTAAAAAAAAAAAAAATGGAAGAATTTAATTTCAATCTCCTGCAACTTAGTCAGATATTCGTGAGGCTTTGCATTGGAAACCTGTGATCCTGCAGTCTTTACAATTCTTTAGCACCTTTATTGTGAAAAAGTATTGTGTTGTTGCTTGCTGATCGACGGTGCGGCATGTCGGTCACTGTAATGTCCGTTACCACTCAGTGTCTGTCTGTCTGTTGACTTTTAGCCCCGCCCTCTGTTGTTTTTGTGTGACCCGGTCTGGTTTTAAAGTCGTCTATGCTGCTGCAGGAAGTGAGTGAAGATGAATGGAGATCTTAGTGTGTTACAGATGTTTCCAATTTTTACATTAAGACTGTTGACAAATGTGTCCTATCACACGTAGGCCGTTTCAACTTTCATTAGACAGCTGAATCATACACATGCAGATGGATAGTCAGTAATTTAATGTTAGTTACGTAATCTATGCTCAATTGTCGAGCTAACTAAATTGCTCAGAGCGAGTAGGAAGTTTTCTGTTAAGTCATGTTTTTTGTTCAAAGCCTACCTACATATTTCTGTCTCAAGCATTACATTGGTGGTAAACATGATCCAGTCTAGTGATGTCACCTCACAGGATTTCTGGGTATTGGAGTTTAATTGCTATTGAAGTTGCATTGCTCTTTAAATCGTCCTGTGGTCAGACTGAGGGTGCTGCATATACCCGAATGGGAAATTGTATTCTGACCATCCCTGAAAAGTGGGTCAGAATTCAAATTATGTGCTTTGTTCCTGCTGTTGATTATTTTTTGGGTCAGCGATCTCAGTTTCACTGGGGATCAATATCTCAGCGTACTGAGCCGGCTCGCAGAGCGCCGTTACATCAGACTAAGAGTGTTTTTTTTTTTTTTTAAAAGACAATGTATCAGAAATAATGCTGTATACAAAGTGTAAGGTTATAGGGTGTGTGTGTGTGCGCGTGTGTGGGGGGAGGGGTTCAGGGATACAGTCAGTTTTTTTTGCCATGTGGTCTTCTTTGACACAGGCACTTCTGGTCTAACAGGCACTTCTGACATTTATATGTAAAGGTATGTGGGTGTGTGTGTGTGTGAGGTAGATGGAGGCAAGAGGTCAAAGCGGATAATATAAGCAGACAGACAACCACTCAATCACTTTATAAAGAGAGATGCTAGGTAGGAAATGGGATATAGGAGATTTAGTTTTGTTTCTGTTTTTTTTTTTTTTTTAGGGATGTACAATTGTTTTAATTTAAAGCTGCTATAATCNNAGGTTGGGGGGGGGGGCTGAAGAACAGAAGGAGAGTATTTTCAGACCACAGTATGAACTGCTAGTTTTTATTTCTCATCCTCATGTTTTGTTTTTACACGTTCACGCACAGCGACAGTTATACCTGTATTATTAACGTCGACCCTCCTCCTGGCAGCGGACCAAAAGTAAACGTCACTGTGGGGGCGTTGTTTCCGTAGAGACAGTGTGAGCGCTGTAGAGGTTGCAGAGTTGTTGCCATGGAGACAGCACCGGTGGATTTAGGAGGGGCTAATGTGTATGTTTTAGAGGTAGAACCGTTCTAACACTCCAGCCATCGCACGAAGCCGATGGCAAACTAACCTGAATAGGACTGTAGAAAGTTTATTTATTTATTTTTAG